CTGTTCTACATCAGTGACAATGTGTACATGTGCCTGTGTAGATGAAGGGGCCTCAAAAATTCATGGACAATGGAATTAAAAAATAATGTCATCTTTCATGGAATTTTGTAACCTCTCATGTAGGTGTGTATGCACCATATAAAGGAGAGAGAGAGAGAGAGGGGTCTTCTGGACTAAGAACTGATGAAAAAGTGGCTATAGGATGTCCACTTCTGAGGACTTAGTCACTGGAAGCCTTATGGACAGCATCAAAGCACTGTCAGCAACTGAAAACCCCCTGAATAGAAGCAGAACTTTGTCAGACATCGTGCCAGAAAATGAACCCCACAAATCTGAAGGCAGTCAATAGATGACTGAGGGAGAGTTGCCTTCTCAAAGTACAATCAGCCATAATTACATAGATGGAGTAAAGCCTTTGGGAGGAAGGCCTTCAGGAGCTACCATTGCTGACGGGACATGACTCAAAATGAGAAGAAACAGCTGCAAGCATCAATTAATAAATGGAACTCAGAATGCACCAAGTATGAATCTAGGAAAACTGGAAGTTCCAAAAAATAGAATGAAACATATGAAGATTGATATTCTAGGTTTTGATGAGCTGAACTGGATTGGTGTTGGTCATTTTGAATCAGAAAATCATATGGTTTATATGCAGGGAATGATATATCTGATGGCATTCCATTTGATGAAAGGAATCCAATTAATTGTCAATAAGGACACTTCAAGATATATCTTAACATACAGTGCTATCTGGGATAGGATAATCTCTTTCTGCATACAAGGAAATCAAGTAAAATTATTTTCATATTTATGCACCAACCTTTAAAATAAGTGAAGCAGAAACTGAAGAATTCCACGAATATCTTCTATCTGAAATTGTTCAAACATAAATTCAAATGTGCTGATGATTACTGGTGATTGGAATGCAAAAGTTGGAACCAAAGAGGAAGAAACAGTAGTTTGAAAATATGGCCTTTATGATAGAAATGGCACTGAAAATCACATGATAGAATTTTGAAAGTCCCAGGCAACTTAGTCATAGCAAATAGCGTTTTTCAACAACACAGTAGGAGACCATACATGTGGGTTTCTCCAGGTGTAGTAAATACATAAATAAAATTGAATACATCTGTGGGAAGAGCCAATGGAGAAACTCAATATCAACAGATAAAACCAGGTAGGGTAGACTGTGGAACAGACCACCAATTGTCTTTATGTAAGTTCAAGTTGAAGCTGAAAAAAATTAACACAAGTCCATGAGAGCCCCCCAAACAACCATGATTATTTCTCATCTGAATTTTGAGAAGATCTCAAGGACAGACTGGATACATTTACAATAACAACGTAAGATAGGAGGAGCTCTGCGATGACTTCAAGATCATCATAAATGAAGGAAGCGAAAGATCATTGAAAAGCCAGGAAAGAAAGAAAAAATCAAAGTGGATGTCAGAAGAGATTCTGAAACTCACTCTTCATCATAGAATTGCTAAGACAGATAAAAGGAATGACGAAGTTAAAATTACTGAATAGAAAATTTCAAAGATCGGTTTGAGAAGACAAAGTCACATATTATCATTAGATGTGGAAAGACCTAGAGTTAGAAAACTAAAAGGGAAGAACACGCTCAGCATATCTTAAATTAAGAGAACTCAAAAAATAGATATAAGCTTCAAAATTGCAATATTGAAAGATTCTATGGGTAAAATATTGAATGATGCGGACAGCAACAAAGAAGACAGAAAAAGTACAGTCATTGTATCAAAAAGAACTTGTCTGCATTAAGCCATTTTAAGAGATAGCATATAAGCAAGAACCAACAGTGCTAAAGGAAAAAGTTCAACTTGCGCTATAGGCACTAGTCAAAAAGTAGACTGCAGGAATTGATTGAATACCGATTAAGATGTTTCAGGAAACTGATGAAGCATTAAAATCACGTAATAGTCTCTTCCAAGAGATTTGGAAGACAGCTACTTGTCCAATTGACTGGAAGAGATCCATATTTGTGCCCATTCCAAAGAAAGTTGACCCAATAGAATGCCCACATTTTAGAGTAATATCATTACTGTCACTAGCAAATAAAATTTTGCTGAAAATCATCCACCAAGAGTACATTCACAGGGAGCTTCCAGAGGTTCAGGGTAGATTCAGAAGAGGCTGGTGTAAGGTGGATCTTATCTTAAAGAATACCAGAAAGATGCTTCCTTGTGCTTCCTTGACAATACAGATGCATTCGACTGAGTAGATCATAACGAAATATGGATAATTTTGAGAAGAATGTGAATTCCAAACACTTTTCCCCCCAGAACACTTTATTGTGCACATGTGGGACTTGTACATGGGTTAGGAGGCAGCTGCACAAGTACAAGGGAATACCGCATGGTTTAAAATCAGGAAAGTTGTGCAAGACGGCTGTATACCCAGAGCAGATAATCCGAGACGCTGGCCTACATGAAGAAGAACGCAGCATCAAGATGAGGGGAAGGCTTAATAACAGCCTGCGGTTTGCAGAGGACGCAGCCTCGTTTTCTGAAAGTAAGTAGGTGGACTTGAAGTACTTGCTGATGAAAATCAAGGAGTTTAGCCTTTAGTATGGATCATAACTTAATTAAAACACTCATACTGGACCACTAGGATATCCTCATAACTGGACCAATATCAAGATAAGTGGAGAAAGACTGAAGTTGTCAAGGATTTTATATTGCTTGGATCCACAATCAATATGCATGAAAACAGCAGTTAAGAGATGACATGATATATTGCATTGGCTAAATCTCTTTAGATTTATCTAAAGACCTCTTTAGAGTATTTGAGGATTAAGATGGGCCAGACTCAAACCATGGAATTTTCGATTGCCTCACCAGCATGTGAAATTTGAAAATTGAATAGGGAAGACTGAGGAAGAATGGATGTGTTTGAGTTGTGGTGCTGGTGAAAAATGTTGAAAGTCCCATGGACTGCCAAAAGGACAAACAAATCTATCTTGGAAGAAGTATGGCCAGAGTGCTCCTTAGAGGCGAGGATGGCAAGACTTTGGACATGTTGTAAGGAGACACAGTCCCTGGAGAAAGACATCACGCCGAGTAAAGTATTGGGGCAGTGAAAAAGAGGAAGGCCTTCAAGGAGATGAATTGACAGTGAATGCAACTGCTCAATTTTTAGAACCATTGTGAGAATGGTGCGAAACTGGGCAGGGTTTCATTCTTTTACGCCATGATGTGGAACCAACTGGATGGCATGGGACAACAATGTCATTTAAAATTATCAACAAATATTTCAATATTACAAAAAGTCTATTACTAAAGTCAATAAATTTGTATATACAATCTTCTGAGACTTCTGATTTAGAGAACCATTCAGCAGTAAATCTTCTTTTTAATGTCTATTTTTCTCCATATCAGGACAGACATCAAATTCTAATTGGCTTACATTTGAAGCTATGTTTTCCACAATTTAAGACTTTATTTCCATAACATTGTCAAAATTATTGATGTTTTTAATAATTGACTCCATTATTAAGGTCTCTGTGCAAATTGATTTTTGTTCCTGATGGATCCCTTTAGCATCTTTCAAATGCTATATTTTCAGTTATATAATTCTGTTATAGTCTTCCCAATCATACATTATGTTGCATTTTGTCAATGATGGAAAAACAATAATAAGCTAGCCTTGTCAAAAACAATATATAAGAGAGATTTAGTTCTATGAGTTGGTTTTCATGTCTAGGGAAATAGGACCTGGGAATTTTGGTGCCTTGAGACATTGTAAAGGTGTCCAGTGATGGCAAGGCTTCGCTTTGGCAGCTCAGAGCAGGCACTCCAGAACAGCCCTCCTGCTTTATAGCTCTGTGAGCGCTATAATCTCATCTTCTTGCTCTGCCCTGTGACCGCTTGAAATAATATGCATGTGACCTCCCCAAATTTTGGCCATTTTTCTTTAACCTTCTTTTTGCTTAACTAGTGGAGGCTTCGCTCCACACAGGGGTAAGGGTGGTTTGTTTGTCTCTTCTGGTTATGAAATGCCTTCCATCTAACACTTTGTGTTTCTTTATTTGTTTTTTTTTTTTATCATTTTATTGGGGGCTCATACAACTCTTATCACAATTGTTACAAAGTTGTCTTTGGATGCTGTTATCCATTATGCAACGGTGTGATAGTAACCCACTCCAGATTTACGTTTGCTGTAGTAGCCAAAAGGGTCAACTGGTCAAGGACACCTGGCTGGGCCTCTGGGAGATCTCCAACATGGTTATTCTTGGCGACTATGTATATTCAGGGTACTGAACGCAGGCTGAGTTTAACAGTAGGGCATAATAAGTGTGATGGCAAAAGGGCAGGGGCAGGGCAGGTGGTCTGTGTTAAGATTCTTTTCCTAAAGTATGCCCTCTCAAGTTTCCTCTTAAGGACTTGTTTACAATTTGAAGTGTGAACCACAAAACCTTTAGGGGTTCCACAATTTTGTTCAATGCATCTGTTATCTAGCTTGATTTCACTGCAGTCCCAATTTGCGTCGGTACCTGTGATATCTTCCTACAAATATACCCCCCTGCCTTATTTATTAATTGTCCTATTTTACATGTATTTTAAACAGCTTCAACTGAATGTACACATATTTAATATTTATACATATTGTCATCCGTATAAACTCAACTGAGCTCACAGCTAGACAAATTTACACGAAAGGTGTCACTGCGAATGAAAAAACTCAACCACACATACACACATGCCCCCTTCTCTTGATTTAGACCCATTCCCTTCCACACAGCCGGCACCAGTGGGGCGATGCAGATGCAGGCAGCTCTGTGTGTCTATGGGAGTGCGATTGGTTCTTCTCCACAGGTTCCCAGCATCCTGTGCAGGTGGCCCCTGTACCCTTTATCCCGCAGCGTGGCCACCGCCCAGCTTCCCTGCCCGCCCCTTGGCGCCGCCGCAGTGCGCAGAGCTGGGCTGGTGCTCATCGCCCTCACTGGAGGCGCATTCTGTGGCTGGCACAGTCCCCAGCGCTGTACCCGCGCCGCACCCCCTGCTGCTGCCGCAGCCCCAGGCCCTGCGATGGGGAATGTGCCCTCCGCGGTGAAACACTGCCTCAGCTACCAACAGCTGCTCCGAGAGCATCTCTGGATCGGGGATTCCGTGGCAGGGTCGCTGGACCCCGCGCAGGTACCAGCTTTTGGTTCCAGATGTCCCCGCCCTCTTGGACACAGCTGCCAGTCAGCTTCTCCCCTATCCTCCTCTTGGTACCCTCTTTCCTCCGTGCACCGCCTGGGCCCCAGGGCCTTTCCTGCTGCAGTTTTGTCTGGTTAGGCCACACCTCTTAAAATTAGCTTTCCCATCATCGTTTCTGTGAGTGCAGCTGGCCTTTCGAGATAATAAGCAGTAAAGTCCCTACGTATGGCCATGTACAGGTCTCCTGTAGAAAACTGTGCCGTCTCTTATTTATTCCTTACAACCAACACATTGTATTTGTGTCCTTGGGCAATCCTCCAAGGCAAGCCCCTTTATTCTCAGTTTCCTCCTAGTGCTGGGTAAGCAAGACCAGTTTGTCAGGAGACAGAAAAATGAATGAAGCCAACATGTATGGTGGAATGAAGTTATCCAGCAGATCATTAATTCATTCCCGGCGAGCTTATGTTTTAATACATATTTGAATGGATTGTGAATAGTAACAATTTCAAACAAAAACTTGGTACCACTTGATTCCTAAAAGTTCGTACTAAGACAACAGTCAACTTAGTGTCAGCCTCCTTAGACTCTCAGACCGGCAAACAAAAGAAACAGGCAAAGGACAGGATCATTTCTGTGAAGAAATTCCTTTATCTTTTGAAAACACTTCAAATAAAAAATAATCAAAAAATAAAAAATAACTGATAGTTGTTACATAAAAGTTAAACCATTAAAAATGGAGGGATACTATAAGAGCTTGAATGCTACTTTATAACTACTGGTGCTACCTGTAAAAATGTTTACTCTTAGTTAATTTTGTTAAAAAACAGTAACTAGTATTAATTGTTATAGCATTTCAGTTCACTATGGCTGTAGCTGTGAATCAACCATCCGATGTTAGATACTTATTTTCCTGTAGCTTTGCATTTTGCATATTCTCAGGTCAGCATATCAGTATATGCTGTTGTAACCGTAGTTTTACAGATTGAAATTCAACGTTTGTCGATTTGAAAATGGATAGTTGGCTCCTCTTTCCTTAGAAGATGGCCTGAGTCATCTTACTCAGAAACAGCCTGAATGTGTTAACAAGAGTAGAGGGGACAATCATCCCTATCTTTTAACACGCCCGTGTCTTTCTATTTCATGTCTATACACTGAATTTTAATTTTTCCATAATATTTTTTCTTTTAAAGCTCTTAACTTCCATTTCCGTTCTGTTCTACGCAATTGGGAATCCTTTATCTTTATTCCCTAAATCAGAGACTTTGTTGCTGGGTGAATATTAGTTTCTCTATTGAGCCCTGTGTTCTGATTTATGTATTTTGTGGGCTTTGGGGCAGTGATTAAGGATAGGCTGCTGGGGAGGATGTCTGCCTTGTCCTTTTGAGTAGGCACTGTAAACTGAAATGACTAGGCTTAGTGATTAAGGAACGCAAGCTATAATATTTGGGGGCATTAATCAGGTAAATGAAGACCTTTTGTTCCTTTTTTGAGAAAACAAAATATATCTTTTAAAATGCTTTTTAAAAAATCACTAACTGCTTGGACTGGGAATTCCCATGCATCCTTCAACCGAGCTTAAAATCATTCCTTTAGTCCATATTTTTTCTCCCTTCAGAGTCGATGCCCACTTCTGTGTTCTCACTGTGATTTATGCACAATTCTGATTTGATTCCTATTTTGTTGAACTGTCATAACTTGAGTTTCATCATATTTGCCGTCATCGCAGCAAGGACACCTGTCACTTGACTAACCATAGCTCCTTCTTTGACTTCTTACAAAGCTTTCCTCATTTCACGCCCCATCTCCTTGTCAGGCTCAATGGCCTTTATCTGGCTGCTAAATCAGGTATACACGGCTATCGATGCTTCTCCTAGGGCTTCTTATCCACACTCACAGTTTCAGTTATCATTTGTATATCAATGTCTTCCAGATTTATATTCCCATCTTTCCCCAAGCTCCAGTTCTCATATCCAGCTGCTTACTTGGCATCATCACTTGGATGTCTCAGAAGCAATTCAAAAAATTCAACATTTAAAAAATTGAATTCATATTCTCCATCCTGAATCCCTGGCCATTCTCCAATATTTTCTACTACAGGGAACACATCCTTTCATTTAGCTATACAGGCCACGGACCAAGAACTCCTTCCTTTAATTTTGCAATCTCAGCTCTTGAATTTCTCTCAAATTACTCTATTCTTTGAACTTCATGTTACCACCAGCTTCAAAATGGGATGATCCCTCTATGAATTCCTGTTTGGACTCATGCCCTCATCTCCTTACTGACCTCCTGCAGGTATGTATTCTCCTCCTCCTTCAATTTGCTGTCTATGCAATTAGCTAGAAGATGTTTTCTATTTCAAACAGATACATATGACCCCCCTGTTAAATAGCCTTCCATGAATCCTATGACTCTTGAGAATGAACACAACCCTTGTATTTCCTGAAGGCCTAAATGATCTGCCCATTACATCTCTGTAACACCATCTCAAATTATTCCATTTGATTCTCACTGCTTCTCCCTTGGTGGGTTTCTTTGAATTCTCCAATACATTATGTTCCCTGTGGAAGTGTGGTTTCCCCCTCCCATCCCCTGCTAGGAAGAAGCCCTTCAGTTAATTTTCTTTGAAGCCTTCTTCAACTCAAATGATATCCCCTAATAAAACTTTTCCCACATTCTTGAAGTAAACAGCTCTTGTTGGACTTTCAATTGCATAGCACATTATTCAATCTATATACTGTGAATTATATATTAATTTTTTGTTTCGTGTTGTATTCATTTTAGTATTTCATCCATTACCAGAGTCTAAGCATCATAATATACATGTGGACATGCATGCACACACACACAACACACACAATTCATCATAGAATTCTCAGAATCTAACAGAATGCCTGGATCATTTCAGGTGGCCTGTTTATCCTTGTTGAATGAATGAATGTATGGGTGGGTGCTTATATTGCTAGGCCTTAAGTATTTCATGGTTAAGGACTATCATATCATACTTAGAATTCTTCAGAACCAAAACAGTGATTGACACATTGCAGGGACATGACCAAGACTTGTTAACCGGACAGTAGAGCGATGAGAACGAGGATATGCTGGCGATAGTTTGAGCTGAGTGCTGAAAACAGAGAGACTGTTACTGTTGGTGAGTCATTTCTTCATCTCATAAAACCTCCTTCCCGTTGATGGGGAAAGAGTTAAAAGGGGATCTGGAGATGTGAAGAGACCGCATGCAAGTTAGCCAGTTCTTCACCGTGAAATCTGGCAAGCAGCATCGTGAGCCTGTTGGTGATTTGAGATACTTTGATTGCAGGAGGGAGAGACACAATGTGCAGTGTTTTGAACGTCCTGTGGTATGCACTAGGAAATCAGAAGTCTAGACCTTTTTCTGCCAACTTATTCTGTTACTTTGTGCAGGAAATGACCTCGGTCGACCTCACATTTTCCGTTTGAACATTAGAGAAAATACTTCCCTGATAAATTATCAGTATGCAATTAAATGCATCCACAAAGGTTTACAGCCTCACAAAACTCGGGGAACAGTTCTACTCTGTTCTTTGGGGTCACTATGAGGTGGAATTGAATAGACGGCCTTAAAAACATTTGAACAGTTAAGATTAATTTATATTTCAGCACCTCTTTTCTATTTCCTTTGTTCTTACTTCCTTCATCTCCGTTTGTTTATCTGGAAATATTTTTGTTCAACCAGAGAATGATTTCAATATATGTACAGGTCTAGGTCTAGTGGTGACACTTTTTCTCACTTTTCCTTGAAATTATTTTTAGTGTTCAGTGTTTAAATATATGTACATCATATGCAATAATATGAATGAATATTGACTTCACACATGTGTTCTGTATGTAGAATTAAAAGTGTTACAAAAATACAAAACAACATACATCTCAACAGATAAGTAGAAGCCAGAAAACAATGAAATCTGGTATTAGTATTATTTTTGATCCTTTGACAATAATGTATATCTTTTTTTAAAGATAATTTTATTGGGGGCACTTACAGCTCTTATAACAATCCATACATCAATTGTATCAAGCATGTTTGTACACATGCTGCCATCATTATTTTCTAAGCATTTACATTCTATTTGAGCCCTTGGTATCAGCGCTTCTTTTTACCCTCCCTCTCCCATTCCCACCCTCATGACCCCTTGTTAAATTATAAATTATTATTATTTTCATATCTTACACCGACTGCTGTCTCCCTTCCCCCATGATTTCTTTCCCCACTTCTCACCACCTTCCCTCTACCCTCCTGGTATCACTATTCCCATTTCTGTTCCTGAAGGGTTTATGTGACCTGGATTCCATGTGTCCTGAGCTCCTAGCTATACCTGTGTACATGCTCCAACCTAGCCCCAGTGAAAACCCCTAAGCAGAACTGGGGTCATGATAGTGGAGATGAGGAAGCCTCAAAGAACCAGGGAAATATTGTGTGTTTCATTAGTGCTATACTGCACCCTGGTTGACTCATCCCTTCCTTGAAACCCTTCTGTGAGGGCGTGTCCACTTATGAGACTGCTTTACCGGTTTTTGCTTTGTCTTTGATTTGCAGCAGTATGGCAGTTATGCGTATAGGTACGGCTTTTTTAGGTGTATTTTTTTCTGGCTATAATTCATAGTATTTCTTGCATATATAGTGTTTGCTGCATGTTGGCTTTTATCAAATTTGGAAAATATTGAATCAGTTTCTCTTCAAACACTATGTTGGTCCTCCCCCCTCCCCCTAATAATTTGGATATAAAGTTTGATGAATCTTAGACCTTTTCTGGTGTCTCACTCATTTCTCATATTTTTCCTGCACTCTTTCCTTTTGCTTTTCTTCTTAGTCAGTTGGAATATTTTCTTTTCACCAACTTCCATATTACTAATTATCTCTTCATGGTTTTTTTCAAATTCTTATTCAATTCATTAATTTTACTATGTTTGGAATGAGTAAATTTTCCATGTGATTATTTTTAGAGCTTTTAAGT